TATATATATATATATATATAAAATAACAATAGATAAATACATCTTTAATCTAAAAAGTACATCATTAATCTAAGCATGTGACAATTTTGTCTGATGAAATTTGGTTAATTTTGTTTATAGTTACACCTTCTCTGCAGTGCAGGACAAAACTGACCAGTACTGGAAGTACCAACGTTGTAAGACCATCTCTGAGTATTTTAGACGACCCCCTCTGGCGCCTCCACTCATTGCTGTGGCTCACATTTACATCCTCGTTACCTACATTCTTAGAACTTTCTGTAACTGTGAATGGATTGCTAGTCATACTCCTGCCCTCAGTAAGACATCATGATTATTATTATCATCATTATATTTATGGTTATCATCAAGGTCAAGATCATCATCATCATAGCCTAACATCATCACCATCATCATCATTATCATCTTTATTATTACCGTATTGTCGATCGTAGGCCGAAATTCGAACAAACACCCTCGTACAACGATATGGCTGCTGGTTTGTGTCTTTTTTTTTATATTCTTCAACTAATTTGAAGTCCAACAATCAAATCACCAGAGTAAAGCAAAACATAGCAAAAACAAAACCCCTGCAATAACAAACAACTCATTGCAATCATGTAATTTAAAGATTATTCTCAATTACAATATAAAATCACAACATCAACAATCATTATTAATATTACATTAATAATAATACCATCGTAAAAAGCAACATCACAAATACAGGGGCGGATCTAGGTTCACATTTTGGGGGGTCAGACTTTTTTTTCATAAAAACGCCCAAAAAAAAGGTTTCTTAGATGGCGGGAAATGAGCTTTACAGACTTGTGAGTTGTCTTTTAATGACTGTTAAGTTCTTTAAAATTCAAGGTTTCCCCCTCTTGAAAACGGACAGGTAAACTTTCATTCTTATTACAGTAAATAGGCCTATTTATGTGTGTATACATACATAATAAAATTGAGTTGCTTACGTATTCTTTTTTCCATGAATGGATAACCCCAAAGAGAAAGGGGGGTCTGTGGGTCCTCCGCCGAGAAAATTTTGATCACTAGATGGCAGGAAATGAGCTTTTCAGACTTTTGAGGTGTCTTTTAATGACTTTTATGTTCTTCAAAATTCAAGGTTTTCCCCCTCTTGAAAACGGTCAGGTAAGCTTTCTCATTCCTATTACAGTAAATAGGCCTATTTATGTGTGTATACGTACATTTAAAAAAATTGAGTTGCTTACAAATTCTTTTTTCCGTGAATAACACCAAAGAATAAAGGGATCCAGGGCCCTCCCCTGGAAAAATTTGATCACTAGATGGCAGGAAATGAGCTTTCC